CGTCCTCTTTTAGACGTTGCCACATGTAATCTAATAATTTTTTAATTATCATTTTTATCACATATCGTCAATATCACAATTATTTCGGAAATGGTTTCTGGTATATTACCTATTAACCAATTACCCTGTCTAAGATTGACACACAAGGGATGGCCTAAATCGTTATTTGGACGAATATCAGCCAGTAAAGATATAATACCTAAATTGAAAATGCTCATTAGCTGAGGCACTTATTAAATAGCAATAAGATACAAATAAAACTCGTGCCAATATATTAATGTACGAGTTATAATTAAGAAAATATGAAATGTTATTCTTCATAAATATATTCTTCATATTCAATTAAGTATTACCTTGCAGTCCAGCATATACAAGAGGACCATATCCCGGTACATTATATACCCCAAATTTATCCTGAGTTTCCTCTCGTTCTTCTTGATCACATCTATATAACGTTTTATTTAAATCTGAGAAATCCATGCCGGAAATTATATTATGTAATTCTGATTTTTCATTTGAAATAATCTGTGAGATAGTATTTTGGAGTTTCGTTAAAGCAGGTACTATATTCGCGTGAAGAGCCACACTGAAATTAAATTCATACATAAGAAAGTTAAGGAATATTGAGGTTTTGAGGACAGAAAGTTGTTGTTTGTACCGTATAGCTATAACAGAACCGGGTTGGAAGTTTACGAAATTAAGCTGCGTGATTTTAGGATCGCCGGAATCGACCTTCTCGATCATCGTGGAGTCGCAACACTGTATGTGTTGTTTAAGGCTCAATGAATATTCGGACAATCCATTTATGATATTTTCGTCCATTGTATATTTCTCAGGCAAAAGGAAAAGTGATTTACCATTTCTATAATGCGATTTATCGAACATAAATATGTAAATCTTCCTTTTAAAGAAAATAAAATTTACGGCTTACTTGGCATCAATGTGCGAAAGTGACGCTTCTAAAATAATTTCTTCCACTATACCCTCCACTCTTAGTGGTCTTACGTGCTTTCTCAGATCATGAGCGTTAGAGTCCGGGTGTTTAAAGGCTGTGAATGCAACCAAGACTACACTTTCGTGAGTAGTCGGTGAGTGTCTTGTTACGGCCACTATATCAGTATCCATTTGATCGACAAACACCTAAGAATCAGAAAATAAATTTTTAGTTACATACATTGACTTTCTAACACACACAAACCGCGAGCAATTGATATATACTTGTGGAAATTTTTGTTGACCAAGCATGTAATGTAAATCGTTCAATGCCTTTTTAGCTGCAATTATACCAGTTTTCGAATTAATAAACTTAACGTTGTTTGTCAAATCGTCGTCTATCCATGAAGTGTACTGCCTTTTCTCGTCTACTACGTGTATCTGAAGAAAATAAAATCTCAGAAAATCTTATTAAATATATAGAATTTTATGAGTATAAAATGAGTATAAAAATATAAAAATTTGAGTTTGTACTAAGAACTTACGTGATGAGGCACTAATTCGTCGTATCCGCGATTACTACCGCTAGCACAGCACGCCATCGATACGAGTGCTGCGCTCGGGAGTAGATCAAAAATACTTCGTTTCTCTACTGGACTAGGATTATCGTGAGTCACATCCATGAACAGAGCGTGAGCTATGCTTGGCACTAACGGCCGTGTTCGTGGCTGCAGGAATGCTCCAACTGGCTCTCCTCCGTATCGATATACTAATCTCCCTTGTTCATGGCTATCCCAAGCAGACATAGCTTCTACAATATAACAGTTTTGATGTATATCTTTATTTACGACATGTTCTTTTTTTTATTAACTGTATTTTAACAATATTAAGTAAATAATAGTTTTTGAAAAGTTTGACAACCTCTTATTAAAGATGTGATGCCAAGACGATTCACAAAGATGTTGTCTTTTTGATCGGAGTTGGTAAACAATTCTGCGACAACATACAGATCTGGACGAATTCGTCGTGCAGCGTCAAGCATATACTGCAAATAGAGAATCGTGCTATTAAATAAACCCTGCTGCATTAAGATTGTTTAGAATTGTGATATACCTCAGCGACGGGGATCGGTGTGGAATGGCAATTGTCTAATCGAATACCATCGAATATCTGCGCCGTTTGTTCTACATAGGACACCATATGCTGCCATAAGAAAGGACAATCTTCTGGTTTCTGCCCATATCTACAACAATCATTTATTAATTATTAATAGCATATATATTTTAAATTATCTGCATATGTACTTTCTACTAATATAATTCATTAAAAATTTAACGTTTATCTAATATTTTTACCTGAGTTTTACGCTGTCTCCCCAAGCGATGAGTTCTCTTCGAATG